ACTGTGATCAATTTGTTCTATAGCACAATGCGCAACAATTAAATGCTACAACTAGCATATAAAATCAGAGTGTGACATTGTACATTGGAGGCCCTTACTCATTTGTCAACACAGTCTTTTTACATGATGTGGCGCTATAAGAAACCACGAAATGAATGTTCATACTTCTTGTTGGAAAGGACAGCAACATCTTGGCGCTAGGGATTCTATAAAACAGCAGTTTTGTATAGCTCTATAGGTAAATCAGTCATCTAAGGAATATTGGTTGATAATCATCCATTTAACTTTTTTGTCCAACCATGTATTCATCTAATGAATATTTGTTCTTATATGACTTGAGTGAGTTTCAATTATATTGTTACACACACTTTTTAAATTCGTATTTCTGTAATAATATTCTAAAGATCCCGTACCAGCGCGTGGTACCACCAAGTATGTACTGGAATTGGAAGCCAGTTGGAATTGTTAAGAAAACCGATGACTAAGAGCCTAGATGTCTCTTCTTCTGTAGCCTCACGCCGATCCTGAGCAAAGCTGCAGCTCTACTGCTTGACCAGTTTAGCACACTACTACGAAACAATCAATTAGAATTGTATTTTAATTCTATACAGACTTAACAGGACATTAACTTATATTATAGATATCATGGTCATCAGAAAATCAATTGTAGCTTTTAAGTATTATATAGAAAGGATAATACATAAGCAAATGTGTAGCAATTCTGTCATCGTTTTCTATGAGCGTTTGATAGTTTTCTTTCCATTGAAATATGTTGGATTTGTTATATAATAGCTAGTTTGACTATCAAGAATATGTATGTAAGAATGTGGAGAACAAATTTAGAGAGGAAGAAAATGAGTTGTTCTCTTTTCTCTTGTCATCTTTCCAATACATAAGCCCTCCTATATATAGCCATACATGTGAAGGTGGAGTTACAAGAATTGATGCTAGGAGAGTTACACCATTGATGAAGTAGAAGGTTGTAGCTTTGATGGTATAGGGGTTATGGACATCCACATTAATATTTCATAACACTCCCCCTTGGATGCCCATTAACAGGTGAATTGCATGCCTCATTAAAAACTTACCAAGGAAAAACCCAGTGGGAAAAAACCATAGCCAAGGAAAAAAGAGTACACACATATTCACTTCCCCTGATAGGAACATCACTTGCTTTCAGCCGTCACAATCCAATACCATGTGCCAATTTCTTGAGTACTGAAGTAGGGAGTGCCTTTGTGAACAAGTCTGCTGGATTCTCACTTGAACGAATTCAAGCAGAAAAAAGAAATCTGCAAACATGGTTATTAGCGAGGCTAAAGAAGGAACATCTAGATATAGTAATTTTTTACCTATTGTTCTTTCAGTCTGTCATTCGCCTAAGTGGTGGATGGATATTGTGGCCAATATTCATGTTTGTGTAGATGCTTCTTTATTTTCTTCTTACTAGAATGGGTTGGAGCCCTGTTGATGCAGAACGGATTTCATGCGTGTGTTCTTGCTGTTGATATGGTCATTGTCATTCTAAAGTTCATTTCGGGAAAGACAGTGTAATTGAACAACGTGCAACATGTTGTCTCCATAAAAAAGAATCTAGTCAGCGGCTCTCTACTATGTAGAGATAGACATAAAATAGTCATTGAATCAAATAAATGTGCACTTTCTAAGTAGGGGACATTTGTTGAAAAAGTTTATGATTACAGAGGCTTTGTTTCGCTTTATCTTTGCATTATGTGTGTAATAAGATTGTGAACAATGTTATTATTTTGGTTGAGTCTAATATTTGGAATTCACAACTTTGTCATGTTAACTTTGGTTGTTTAAGATGGCTAGCAAATCTGAATTTAATTCCAAATTTTAATTTAGTCAAATGTTCTAAGTGCCATGTGTGTGTGCAATCTAAGCAACCTCACAAGCGTCACGAGGCATCAGAGGCGAGGAACTTGGCGCTATTAGAACTAGTTCATTCCGATTTCTACAAGATGAACGGCAAGTTGACTAAAGGTAGCAAAACATATTTCATGACTTTTATAGATGATTATACTAGATTTTCCTATGTGTACTTGTCAAAATCAAAAGATGAATCTTTGTATTATTTTAAGTAATAAACTCTGAAGTACCTGACATGCATGTTGGTACCATTATGGAGTTCAGAGATGCTACATTTTTTAAAAATGAATTTTCTATAAAAAATACACCTAGCATGTCTAGTCAAGAACCTATAATACCCCATGAGCAATTTATTCTGATAGAACACACAGAGGAAACCCATGTGCAAAATTCTGAGGAGGATGGCACTGTAGTTGCTTGAAAGAGTACAAGACAAAGAAATGCAAAGTCTTTTGCTGATGACTACACTGGGTACCTTCTGGATGACACACCAAGAACCATTGAAGAGGCACATTCTCCTGATGCTGACTTTTGCAAGGAAGAAGTACGAAGTGAGATAGATTCAGTTATGTCTAATGAAACTTGGGATGTTCTTGAACGTCCTTATGGGTGGAAACCTGTAGGATGCAAATGGTTGTTCAAGAAAAAACTTAGGCCTGGTGGTACTATTGAGAAGAGAAGGCAAGGCTTGTGGTGAAGGGTTATACCCGGAAAGAAGGTGAGGACCTCGATACTTATTCACTAGTTGCTCGATTGACTAAATTCGAGTATTAATTTCCCTAGAGCCTCACATGGTCTTCTCGTTCATTAGATGGACGTTAAGATAGCTTTCCTAAATGGAGAGTTAGAGGAGAAGATCTATATAGATCAGCCAGATGGGTTTGTAGCAAATGGTCAAGAAGGCATGGTTTGTAAATTATTGAAGTCTTTGTATGACCTAAAACAATCACCTAATCAGTCGCATGAGAGGTCCAATGATGCCCTAGCAACTCTTGTTTCACACGCCTGGGACCACCCATACCGCGCCTCTGCCTCCATCCCCCTCTGCTTCGCATGGGCATGCACAGTGGCGCCCTAGCAGCTGCAGCAGGCGGCTGCAATAGATGAGTCCCATTGCAACATGTGCAACCTTAGATCTACTTTTGCAATACCTAGATGAAACACTTGCAACATACGTCCGAAACCGCTGAAACACTTGCATGATACATCTGAAACACTTGAAAAACACGTGTGTAGCCATTGCAAAACATATGCAACATCCAGATGAAGCACTTGCAACATACATATGAAATACTAACACTTGAAAACATACTCTTGCAACATGCATCTATATGCAATATATCCAGATCTACTTTTGCAACATCTAGATGAAACACTTAAAACATACGTATGAAACACCTGAAACACTTGAAAACATATGCTCACAACATGCGTATATTGTCATTGCAACATATGCGACGGCTGCGACCATCTCCACCGCCATTTCAAGGTAGTCTTGGGAATCGTTAAGACAGGAATTTCTCTTGTTTCTAAATTACTGAAGTCATTGTATGGCCTAAAACAATCACCTAATCAGTGGCATGAGAGGTTCGATAGAACTTTAACATATGTCGGTCTTGTTGTGAATGAAGCTGACAAATGTGTATACTATCGTTATGGTGGGAGCGAAGGCATGATTTTGTGCGTGTATGTTAATGACATTTTGATTTTTGGAACTAGCCTTGATGTGATTATGGGGGATAAGGACTTTTTGTCCAATAATTTTGAGATGAAAGGTTTGGGAGAGGCTAATGTTATTCTTAATATCAAGCTACTGAAAAAGGGCAATGGTGGGGTCACACTTCTGCAATCTCACTATGTGGAAAAGATTTTAAGTCGCTTTGGGTATAGTGACTGCAAATATGCTCCAATGTCTTATGATCCTAGTGAGCTATTAAGCAAAACTAAAGAATAGCAACGGACCAATTTAGAAAACTTTTTAACTACAAAGTTGTAGATCTCGTCGAGAGCTACAATTTTGATATAAAGTTTATCTTCATCCAAGTTCATATGAAAAAATTATGAATTATTTTTGTTGCAATCATTAATCGAGGTAGACAACTTAAGATGCCCGCCTCCGTAAATCGATTTACGGAGGTGGACGCTTAGAACGACCGTCTCCGAAAATAATCGATTAACGGAGGCGGACATCTTAAGTTGCCAGCCTCGGTTAATGGATTAACCGCTAGCATTAACGGCGGCCGATGCCTAATGCTGCCCGCCTTTGTTAAGCATTAACCGAGGCGGGCGCTCGGGCGACGGCCCGCCACCGATTAATGGCTAGCCTGCCCGCCTCGAATAATAAAATTGCAACGCCTCGCAAAATCTTTTCTGTAGTAGTGAATTTTAAGAGCATGCATACATGCTACTCTTTCTATTCCAAATCGTAAATCAATTTTATGCCTAGTTTTTACTATGTATCTAAATATCACGTATATTTGGGTGTATAAGAAAAGTTACCAAGAAAAATCTAAAACGACTTATGATTTAGAGCTACAACCCCGATAGATCATATGCTCCATACTCTCTTGAATTATCACGTGATTATCTAAAACCAATGATAGACCCTACGTAACTCACCTTCACTTGAGAGCATAAATGGACTAGATTAGTTATAACCACGTGTGGTACCTTGTTTTACTGAAACGGAGTCATAACTCATAAGCCATGCCATAGTAATTTTTTTTCCTTCAGTTCTTGTCATAAGCCACATCTTCTATAGTGGATTGAGCTGAACTTGAAAAAAAATGTCACGAGCAATAAATAAACAATAAACGAGAAAAGCTCAATTTTTCTCGATGTTTGGTTTTCTCTCTCAAATCGAAAAACTGGTATCTGGGCTCATTTTCTATGGCGTTTGAGCCCAGCTCATCCAGGGCCCATATTGTTATCCTTTGGAGCCCCATATCACCATGAGCCCAATTACCAGACGCAGCGGAACGAAGCAGACCACTTCACTCCACTCGCCGACCCTTCGCTCGCTCGCTCAGTCACTCCACTCGATCGAGTCGCTCGCAGCCTCGCATCCCCAAATCGCCCGCCCTCCCAAACCCTAGCCGCCGACGGCGGCCATGGCGGCGCCGCCGCCACCGGATCCTGCAGTTCTGATCGACGCGCTCGTGGAAGAGTTCCTTCTCCGCCTGTCACCGGAGGACCCCGCGCTCCTCGCTCGCACCGCCCTCGTCAGCAGGCAGTGGTACCGCGTCGTCACCGGCCCCTCCTTCCGCCGTAGATTCCGTGAGTTCCACCGCTCGACACCATTGCTGGGCTACATCCTCAATCTCGCCGACTCCATCCGCTTCGTCCCTATGTCATCATTTCGCCCGCCCCGTACTCACCGCCGCGGTGTGCGAGCGGTCAGCTCAAGCCATGGCCGCGTCCTCCTCCATCGCTTATTCGAGAAGGATCTGATTGCCCCTGGTTTCCCAGCGAAGGATGTGGGTGTCCTCCTCTCCGTGTGGCATCCCATCACGGACGAGCAGCAGGACCTGCCCGTGGTGCCACTGCGGCCGACCCGATACCGGAGCTTCTTTAAGCGGGAGGACAATGCTAACTGGGACGCGGCCGTCGTCTGCGACCATCTCCACTGCCATTTCATGGTAGTCTTCGTGGGAAATCGTGAAGGCAGGACTTTCTCTTGTTTCTACTCATCCGAGGCTGGTAGCTGGAGTGATCCCGTCTTTACTGCGGAGGAGTCCGAGAACACTTTTGTCCAGGGGGACTGTATCCTCATTGGCACAGCCTTCTACACCACGTGTGCAGCTAGCGATAAAATCTTCAAGTATGACTTGCGGACGCATCAAATGTGTAATATTTCCATACACCAGGACCTGGTAGGCTTATTGCTGCAGAGGATGGTAGGCTAGGATTTGCCAAAGCAATCAATTCAACACTTCGCCTGTGGCTAAGGGAGAATGGAAGATGGGAAGAAAGCAGAGCCATTGACCTTCGCACGCTGCTCCCAGCTGATGCCATTCCTGATCAGCCACTATCCGCATGTGTAGCCATCCTAGACACACCTTGGGTTGTTGCCTTTGCAGAGACTGGAGCTGGTGTCATTTTCTTATGGACACGTGTTGGGAATTTCACCATCGATCTGAAGTCTGGGAGTTGCAAAAAGGTTGGGAAGTACTCCTCAGGTCGTGTTGTTCCCTACGTGAGCTTCTGCACTCCAGGTACGCATTTGATCACTTCCTAATTTGCCCATTTGCACAAGTAGTTAGTTCAGTATGAAAATCTGGTAAATTGCACATGGGCTCAACAACATTGTGTGTGTTTTTTCCGGGATAAAGAACAATGTCTCTGTCAAAGTATGATATCTGAACCTCATGTAAAATCCAGGTTACGTCTACTACCTATGTGTTACCTACATAAAAGGTTATACCTACATACATGACCTTCTAAAGTTCAAATATTAGTCTCATGCCAATCTTTAATGTTATATGTTCCTTAATCTTCTCTTGTATGCTAATGTCACTTGATAACATCGTAGCAATATAAATCGGATAAGTTTCTAGATTTGGACTAGTTTGAGTTCATCGTTATGATGTTGTGGATATGTGACCATTAACTGGATAATAAATCAGTGCTGTTTTGTTAGCCATCGGAGCCAACTTGATGGCTCCTGTGTGATTTCTGTAGACCGAATGTTCATTGTTCCCACCAATTACTCATATTTTGTATTTGTGTTTCTTATGTAGCACCAGGAGCTGGTGTTGCCATTTCTTCAGATGAGGTGCCAGTAGCTGATATTGCTGTCGCTACAGACGAGGGACCAGGAGCTGGTGTTGCGGTCTCTGCAGATGAGGGGCCAGGAGCTGCTAGCATGTGTCAAGTGCCTAAGAAGCTCAAATTACAAGTGCAAGGCCTCTAAATCAAGAGGGAAATGAATAGAACGGAATCATGGTTTTCAGTGTGATGTCTCTTACTTGATTTTGCTGCTGTGCTGCGCTCTTAAATGTATTCTAGATCACTGGTATCGGTAATAATTAGTAGTACTATTTATCTCTAAAGTAAGTAGCTTGCTACTTAGTTTGATGCTGTCTTGGGCTCTTCTGCAAGATGGTAGCTGAATCAGGATTGTACTCACTTTGTGCCTGGAACTTGAGTTTGCAATCTAATTATCAGAACAATATTGACTTATGTATGAAAGTATGACGTGGAATTTAATACTGTGTATGATTGTGGCAACTTAATGAGAGCAGGATCGGTGAACATTGAGCATATGAGCTTTTAAGGTTTTTGAGGCCTTTGACTGATGACAGCATAGAGAAAAATAAGGGCAATACATCAGTTTTAGCTGCAGCACTAAAACAACGTAAGTCTACTGATGGCCTTCAGCTAAGATAAGTGCTGATGCTCGGTTTAGTTTCGTCAATGTTCCAAATTCAGAGATTGCTCTAGAACTTTTTGTTGCCAAGTTCACTAGATTGAGGCTATCCTTTCCAACATCAGCAGGCTTTTTCCATACTGCAGAGGGTATGCTCTATATCTCTTCATTGTTCTGTTAATTTAGGACGTGGCAAAGGCCAAAGTGTCAATTTTTCATCCCTCCATTATTTTAACTGCTTGCCTTTGGAACACAAAAGAGAGTCAATATCCAGCCAAATCTTTGACTACCATTATGATATATAATATATATCCTGAAACATTTTGGATTCGGACCTAGCTAAAGATAGGTTACCATGTGGATCTTCAAGAAACATCTTTAGGTCCATTCAAATTTCAAAAATGCTAGCACAGTAACAGCAAAGGAAACTGGGTGCCCTGAATCACAGAGGAAATAGTAAAACAAATGCAGCAGAGGGCAGGTGCTGAAACAAAATCTTTGATTCAACAACAACAACAACAACAACAAAGCCTTTAAGTCCCAAACAAGTTGGGGTAGGCTAGAGTTGAAACCCAACAGAAACAATCAAGGTTCAGGCACGAGAATAGCTGTCTTCCAAGCATTCCTATCTAAGGCTAAGTCTTTGGGTATATTCCATCATTTCAAGTCTCCTTTTATTGCCTCTACCCAAGTCAACTTCGGTCTTCCTCTGCCTCTCTTCACGTTACTATCCTGACTTAGAATTCCACTACGCACCGGTGCATCTGAAGGTCTCCGTTGCACATGTCCAAACCATCTCAACCGGTGTTGGACAAGTTTTTCTTCAATTGGCGCTACCCCTAATCTCTCACGTATATCATCGTTCCGAACTCGATCCCTTCTTGTATGCCCGCAAATCCAACGCAACATACGCATTTCCGCGACACTTAGCTGTTGAATATGTCGTCTTTTCGTAGGCCAACATTCTGCACCATACAACATAGCAGGTCTAATCGCCGTCCTATAAAACTTGCCTTTTAGCTTCTGTGGTACCCTTTTGTCACATAGGACACCAGACGCTTGCCGCCACTTCATCCACCCTGCTTTGATTCTATGGCTAACATCTTCATCAATATCTCCATCCCTCTCAGAGCATTGATCCTAAATATCGAAAGGTATCCATCATAGGCACTACTTGACCTTCCAAACTAACATCTTCCTCCTCCCGAGTAGTAGTGCCAAGTCACATCTCATATACTCGGCTTTTAGTTCTACTAAGTCTAAAACCTTTGGACTCCAAAGTCTCCCGCCATAACTCCAGTTTCTGATTCACTCCTGTCCGGCTTTCATCAACTAGCACTACATCGTCCGCGAAAAGCATACACCAAGGGATGTCCCCTTGTATGTCCCTTGTGACCTCATCCATCACTAAAGCAAACAAATAAGGGCTCAAAGCTGACCCTTGATGTAGTCCTATCCTAATCGGGAAGTCATCCGTGTCTCCATCACTTGTTCGAACTCTAGTCACAACATTGTTGTACATGTCCTTAATGAGTCCGACGTACTTCGTTGGGACTTTATGTTTGTCCAAAGCCCACCACATAACATTCCTTGGTATTTTATCATAAGCCTTCTCCAAGTCAATAAAAACCATGTGTAGGTCCTTCTTCTTCTCCCTATACCGCTCCATAACTTGTCTTATTAAGAAAATGGCTTCCATGGTTGACCTTCCGGGCATGAAACCAAATTGGTTCATAGAGACCCGCGTTATTGCTCTCAAGCGATGCTCGATAACTCTCTCCCATAGCTTCATAGTATGGCTCATCAACTTAATTCCCGGTAATTTGTACAACTTTGAATATCCCCTTTATTCTTGTAGATCGGTACCAATATACTTCTCCTCCACTCATCAGGCATCTTGTTTGATCGAAAAATATGGTTGAACAACTTGGTCAACCATACTACAGCTATGTCCCCGAGGCATCTCCACACCTCGATTGGGATACCATCCGGTCCCATCGCCTTACCTCCTTTCATCCTTTTCAACGCCTCTCTGACCTCAGATTCTTGGATTCTCCGCTTTAAAAGCGCCTATTGGTGTCATCAAAAGAGTCATCCAACTGAAAGGTTGTGTCCATATTCTCACCATTGAACAATTTGTCAAAATACTCTTGCCATCGATGTCGGATCTCATCCTCCTTTACCAAGAGATGCTCCCTTTCATCCTTAATGCACTTAACTTGGTTGAAGTCCCGTGTCTTTCTCTCACGAACCCTAGCCATCCTATAAATGTCCTTCTCTCCTTCCTTCGTACTCAAATGTTGATAAAGATCCTCGTACGCTCTACCCTTTGCCACACTTACAGCTCGCTTTGCAGTCTTCTTTGCCACCTTGTACTTCTCTATGTTGTCCACACTCCTGTCATGGTACAAGCGTCTATAGCATTCTTTCTTCTCCTTAATAGCTCTTTGGACTTCCTCGTTCCACCACCAAGTGTCTTTAGCCTCGCGTCCCCTTCCTTTGGTTACTCCACACACCTCTGAGGCTACCTTCCGAATGTTGGTTGCCATCTTGTCCCACATATTGTTTATGTCGTCTTCTTCCTTCCAAGAGCCCTCTTTGATAACCCTTTCCCTAAATACCTCTGACGTCTCCCCTTTCAGTTTCCACCACTTTGTTCTTTCAATCTTAGCTTGTTTATCCCTACGGGCACGCACCTGAAAACAAAAATCTGCCACCAAAAGCTTATGTTGAGAAACAACACACTCCCCTGGTATCACCTTGCAATCCAAGCATGCTCGTTTGTCCTTTCTTCTTGCGAGGACAAAGTCAATCTGGCTACAGTGTTGTCCGCTACTGAAGGTCACTAGATGAGATTCTCTCTTTCTAAAGAAAGTGTTGGCTATCATCAGGTCAAAAGCTACCGCAAAGTCCAGAACTTCCTCCCCCTCCTGATTCCTACTACCATACCCAAAACCTCCATGAACTGCCTCGAAACCTGCGCTTGTAGTACCTACATGCCCATTAAGATCTCCTCCTATAAAAAGCTTCTCACTACTAGGTATAGCTCTAACCAGGCCATCTAAGTCTTCCCAGAACTGTCTCTTAGCACTCTCGTCGAGACCTACTTGGGGGGCATACGCACTAATTACGTTCAAGACCATATCACCAACGACAAGCTTGACTAAGATAATCCTATCTCCTTGCCTTCTCACTCCCACCACACCATTCTTGAGGCTCTTATCAATCAAAACTCCTACTCCATTTCTATTCGCGACTGTCCCTGTGTACCAAAGCTTGAAACCTGTATTGTCCACCTCCTTCGCCTTCTGACCCTTCCATTTAGTCTCTTGAACGCATAATATATTTACACGCCTCCTAGTCGCGGTATCAACTAATTCTCTTAACTTACCTGTAAATGACCCTACATTCCAACTACCTAAACGGATCCTAGTTGATTCGACTAGCTTCCTTACCCTTCGCACCCGTCGACTTTGATGCGAAGACCCTTGCTCATTTTTCACTACACCCGGGCGCCGATGTAGCGCGCCACTAAGGAAGCGACGACCCGATCCTTGGTTACTTGACACCATGCCCAGATCACGACACGGCGCGTCACGGGGGTGACGACCCGGCCCTTGCCCATTTAACACCATACCCGGGTTCCGATATGGCGCGTCGCTAAGAGGGTTACGCCCCAACGATTTTCTTTCGGGTTTCATCTCCATTTAAGTGGCTAGGTTTTTACATTGGCTCGCTACGCCTAACACAACCCTCCTCCTTTACCAGGGCTTGGGACCTGCTATGCTGGGATACCAAAGGCGCCCCACCATAGGCGGAGTTAAAAATCTTTGATTGATTTAGAGAATTCTATAGAGGTCTCAGAGGGCAGGTGCTGAAACAAAATCTTTGATTGATTTAGAGAATTCTATAGAGAAGTCTCAGACTTAATAAATGCTGAGAAATGACATGGAATACATCAGATTTGATCTCAGGCTACTATCATGGGTGATTCACTAAAAAGACGAACTAAATGACCGTGGAAACATCAAACATACTCTTATATATCACTCTAAATTTCCAACTGAAACAGTTATACTAATTGACAGTGACTGAAACAAAACACTTTTAAGCTTTCAGCACCGGGTCTCCAAGATACGAAGAGCAACGTTGCTCAAGTTTGTGGATTGATCATTGCATGCTCACTCGAAAACACAGGGGAGCTGTGCTACTGCATTGCTCACTGATGGCCGCTTACACCAGTACGATCTGAAAAATATAGAATGCATAAAAGATAGGAATATGCTATAGCTAAAAATATGCATAAATGGGAGATGAAATATGTGCGGTGGAAGGTCTTTCTTTTAAGCTGGTGGTTACCTTTTTTTTAGTAGCAGATACGTACTTACCATTAGCACAATATGAAATTACTATTTGTATACATGAACATTAATGAGGGTGTTGTGGGCTTGTAACTTTTGTCGATGTTTAAAAGAATGGATGCAAACCCTGGAATACAACCTTTTTACTTTTCCCCCACATTTCTCTTATTTTAGGATGCTAAG